ACTTCCCCGTTTACAAAGGCACATTTATGATTAGATGGGCGGGGACTCAACACCAGGCCCTCCTAACTGGCAAGTTCGCCATCTGCACCGTACTGAAAGGAGTGGCGCACCAACGAGAAAGGCGTAAAGCTGCGTTTATACTTCATACTCTGCGGCAGCTTCCACCAGCGTTCCTAGCGTCCGCAGTGTCAGCGACTAAGAAGGTCCAGGTATCGGTCTAGCGTCTGCAGCGTCTGCCAGCGTCTAACAGTGTCCACCAGCGACCAGCAGCAGACTGCTGGTAGAGAGTATGGGGCGATAGGAGGGTACCAGCTGTCTGCTACCCTCCTATCTCCCCATACTCTACCAGCTGTCTGCTACCCTCCTATCGCCCCATACTCTCCACTCCCAGACGCTGCTGGTCACTGGTAGACGCTAGATCGATATCTATACTCTCCTAATCGCCGACATCGCCGGACGCTAGGAACGCTGGTGAACGTCACTGGTAGCTGGTAGAAGCTGCCACGAAGTATGAACGCAGCTTGATCGTAGCTGGTAGTGAGTCCCCGCCCACCCACTTTCCGTGGAATGTTCTCCAAAGCTTTCTTCGGCGGCAAGGTTTTTTCAGTTTTTCTCTAATTGCGACCTCAGCATGTATAGTCATCGGTTTAGCGTTTTGGGAGAAATCCCAGCGCTCCGAGCGTTTTCGAGCGAAAGGAATGTATAGGTGACCAAGCACACTAGATCGATACCTATACTTTCCCTTTTGCTCTATACGACGATGAAAAGTATAAACACAAATTTACCCGAATCAAACTAGTCACTGTGATCGCAGTTTTTGAAATGTCGTTCACAATATCAAATGAAATTGCGCTCTCATGACTGTATACGTTTCTTTGCGGATCTTAGGGGGCACATCACGACGCTGTCAGTGCCGTTCTTCTTTGGCATATTCCGATGCGTCAAAATTCATCACGCACGTGATTTGCGTCGCAGGGACGTTGTTTCGTCGTCAGACACCTCATTTCGAGTGTGATTTCCTCTTCCACCAAGTGCTTTCGTTCCAAGGCACCGTTGTATCGATTAGGCGTGCCGTCTTACTGTGCTGTCCGGGTAGCTTCTCCTGCTTGCGACGTCTTTCTGAGCGCCGATTTCCACCGTCAACCCGATGAACTGGCGATCGTCTCAACTGGCACAGGCATCGTTTGTTGAATGGATAGTCATGCTGACGAACGCAACGAGCAGATTTCCTATACAAATCACTTCATAATAACCGCAATGGGGCTTCTTCGCCTTACCCACCCTTCAGCGCCATCGTGAAGACATTTCTCGCGACACTGTAGCAGTCCCAATCGTCCGATGCAGAGCTGGTCGTATGATAACGGCACCGAGCGATGGACGATTGTCATGCAGTCACCTTAAAATTATGGGCATACGAATTGACAGTTTATTGATTTCATGGCCTCGACGCGATTTCTTCACTCCCGCCAGTATGAGCAAGGATTTGCACCTGGCGCGCGAGTAGTTGAGAGGGGAGGGGAGAAGGACACGATGGCCCTGCAGAGGCGCCTTTGAGCCTCCTTCGACTGAGCCTTACCGCAAAATCTATTATAGTGCTCTCACTCTTCTGAACAAGAATCAGCCTCACCAGACACACGGGGAGCCGTACTCCGACCAGATTGCGGGGTCGTTTTTGCTGCAGACGACCCCGGGGCATATCAGGGAGCTGGGTCTGTCGCGGCACCAGTCCTTCTCCATCATTTGCTGAGGTGTGGAAAGCGTCAACAGTTGGTGGTAAACGGGCCGGCGGTCGCGCAACTCAGCTTTCCCTGGACATGCCCCAGAATTCGCGCAACGCGCAAATGAGTTCTTCCTTGGCTCGCTCACCACCGTTCCTCGCGCCCCTCCTTCTACCGACAACATAGCAAGCTAGCCCATTTGAAGGCGGTTTCGCTCTTCGTCTAGGATTTCTTTTTTTTCAAGTCATCTACCCCTATTTCCTGAAAATCGTTATGTTTGACACACCATGCGCTTCGTGGTGACCAAGACTTCACCACCATCAGTCAGTCTTTGTGCCTAGAAGACTTCTACAGGTGTCAGGAACCCCACGAGAAGGTACCCAACTGATCTATAGACAGTATTCGATTCGCTCGCAAGTTTATTGGAGCAGCACAGTTTGGTTTCTACGGTTAACCTCGAGTTAGGAGTTGATCTAATTCACTCGAGCGCTGTCATGTCGCAATCAGAGGACTCAAAGCCCTCAAGCAGCATGGCTAGATATTATTAGCCTAAGGGGGCTTGGTTTTTCCACGTGAAAAATTGGCTCTAATCCTTAGAATTTTCCTAGAAGCAAGAGTAATCGGGAAGGGGAGTGTAGCCTTCAGCGAGACTCGAGCACGCGATTTTCTGCTCTTTTGTTCCCTCCCACTAACAGTGTCTTTGTCCAGTTGGCTCCCTGCCGCGTAAGCGCTTACAGCTTCGCGATGGAGGGCGTGGCCTGTACTTGTTCTCCGCACTCCGACAACCTTAGCGTCATGTCCCTTGAGCGCGACTACACAGTGAGAGCTGTCTTGATCCTTTTCATGTCAGAAAATGCAGTAATTTATCTCTCACCTTCCCTGCAGAGTCTTCTTTTCAGCGCGTTTCTGTCGTGCAATCCAAGGTCCTTACTCTCTCCACCACCACGATGTTTTTCCAGTGGTTTCTTGATCGACGTTCCCAAATTGGTCACGATTGATGTAGGCTTGTCCACTGCATACGGAATCTAAAGGAGTTTTCATTTGAGGAAGTCGGAAGTTTAGGGCCAAAGGGGGCTGTACAGATGCACTTCTTGGGCTATAAAAGGTTCGATTTTTGCCGTGGCTCTGCCCACTGTGGCAATTTTCACAGGTCTATAGTCTGGTGCAGTTTACAGTAGGCTGCCACGTGATATTAACTCTCATTCCGCGCTCATCGCATGAGCGAGTCCGCCCTGGCATTGTGTAATCTTCATTGGCATGTCTTTCCTATTGTACCAAAGAGCAGGAGAGCCCACCAATCGGGAAAGCACTAGTGGGTTTGACTCCGCCTATACGACGAGCGTGTAATGTGCACCGGAGGCGAAATGGGCGCCAATAAAGTGGTTGAAGATTGGTCCACCGTAGTTAACAGTAGGGGCTCAAGTGTTGTAGTCTGAGCGGCCGCTTACCTTGTGCGCGGTCCGGAGTCGAATCGCGGATCGGCTCCCGCCCGGATCCAGCAAGCCTTCAACCCTCTCCACCCTCCCTCGAGAGCGGAAAACTGGTAAGGTTGCTCTGGTAGGGTGAAAACACTGACTTGCTCACCGACTGGCCCTCGCGAGTCCCTACGACTACGACTCTGAGTGAGGGTAGAAAGCGTGGCGCATCTCGAAAAAGGATCGAAGAGGTACGAAGAGGTAGGCGGGAGTTTTACTCTTCACTGTTGTAGATTATCGTGGGTGAAACAAGTGAAGAGGTCTCAAGGAGCATACTGTTTGTGGGTAACCGACCGCGCAAACAGAATTAGGCACAGTCCACGCCGATGAGATGGGCGGAGTCCAGCCCGGTTGTCAACCCTCTTTACGCCTTCCTCGTTGGCAGGACCTCTTCGTTAACATATCAGAAATTAGCAACGCATCAACAAGGTGTGCGGAGTAGTAGGCTCCGCCCATATGATTAGCGTGGACTGTTCCTCCTGAGCACTGAACTTCACAGTGAAAGAATTATGAATTGAAATATCCCAGAAGTAACTGCTCAAAAAATTACCTCGACCAGTTTCGGTGCACTTTTGGAGATTCGCTGTGCACTGTCAATTGGAGCTTCACGAACTATCGGACACTCGGTGAATTTAGCGGAGAGGTCGTCAATGAGAACGACATCACCGTCGGACACGTTCGTGAATTTGATGGAGATCTGAAGTTTTAGAAATTTCAAAATATCATTGA